AATCCCCAAGAAGTTGTTAGTTCAGCTGCTGGTTCTGCAACTTGTGTTACTGGATTAGAAGAAGTAGTAGAAAATACTACTCAAATATCAGAACAACAATCTGAATGGTATTATGAAAATCAAGCACAAACAAATTCAAATGTAAATGTTTTATATATATATATATATATATATTATGTAAATTTATAATTTTAAAACAATAATTTTAAAAAAATTTACATGGAATTTCTAGGAAACATGTGTTGCTGCAACACCTCCTCCTCCTATACAACCAATTCAAATAGTAGAATCATCCAGAAATTCAATCTCAGATACTGGAAAGACAGAAGTGGGTCATTGGGAAGAAGATGCTACAACTAATACTTTAAAATCTACAAAACGTCCTTCTTCACCTCCTTCTGAATCTTTGGTATCTTTAAGTCCTGAATCCATATCTGCCGAAGAAGAAGAAGGAGAACAGGATGGTGCTGATCATGAAACAGGAGAGCCTTTTGAACCTATATTATCTGATGAAGATATAATGACAGATGATATACCACCTACTACAGAATATGAATGTGAAAATATACAGCTAAATAATATTTATTCTTTAACACCACCTGATTTATTGGATTTGGAAGAATTAATGAATGTCACTGAAGAATATCATATTAACAAAGAAATGTTGGATAAGATTCATGAAATATTTCAATCTATATCAAAATCAGTTTTACATTTTAATAATGCCTCAGGTCAGGAAAAAGAAGCATTTGTTCATAATTGCGAATCGTTATGTGCAATACTTACTCCTTTTCATTTGAATAATACAGATTTTAATGATTTGACCAATATTGTAAATGCTGGCTTAGATATGGATCTTGCTCGTGCTCAACCTCAACCAGCTTATAAAGTTCGTCATGTTAAAGTTGGTGTACGATTAGCGGAAACTTTGTGTAAACTTCCACAAGGTCCAGAAATACTATTAAAAGTAGATGCACCTTATAAATTATTAGCATTGTGCATGCGCGAAAATGTAGCACTTCCTGTAAAACTTTCCGCTCTTCGTACATTGGATGCTGCATTAATAAGTCCAATAATTGTTAAAGAGTTTCTTAAATCAAAAAATAATTTATATAAAAATGCTTTAATGATGTTAGATACAGCAAAATTAGCAAGATTAAAATATGCTTTATGTTCATTATTACGAAAAGTACATACATATGAATTTCTTAGTGAAATGAAAGAAATTGATGAATTAGCTATCATTGAATTAACAAATACATATATATGTTCACCCACATTAATGGCTCAACCAAAACGTCAGCTTCCTGCCGGAGCTCAAATGGAATTTGAACGAGAATATAATCGAAATCCTCGATGTCATTTAATAGCATATTTTGAACATCATAAACTGCTGTATCATATTTTATTTGCTCTAACTTCACCAAAATCGGATTTAAATTTAATTAAAGCTGCTCGACGTTTTCTTTTACGTATTTCTGATACTAAAGAAGGTTTATTGTATTTATTAAAAGAACCAGAAATTACAAAATTAATTTTAAAAGCTTTAAAATGTGATTTACCTGGAGCAGGATCAATTTTAGGTTGGCGATTGCAAGTTGTACAATGTTTATTACATTTAAAATATCAACCTTCTGATTGGATAGCTTTAAAAAAACTTCATTCTTTTTTAATATATTCTGATGGTTTACAAGCTATAATAACAATACTTCCTACAGGAGAATTCATTGATATTTTAATTCCTTATCTTTCTGATCCAAATCTGTGTGAATTTTCTGCAGAAATTATTTCAGCAACAATTCGTTATTCTGATCGAATAGAAATATTTCAAAACCGTGCTACAATTATTTTAGAAAAATCACGAACTCAAGCAGTTTTAAAAGATGTTACATCATATTTAACTACAGCTGCACAGTCATCTCATTGGAATTATGGAGATGTTTCTCCATTAGTCACATGCATTAGAAAAAATGCAGATAAAGCAGCTTATCTCCCAGGACAATTAATTACAGCATGTAGAATTTTATATTATCTTATTTTTCCTTTAAATAATGATGTAGATCCAATGGAACCTTATATTGAACTAAAATACAGAAATGCATTAACTCAATTATTTGCTGCTGATGGTTTAACAGCTCTTATTGCAGTTATGGCAAATATTTCTGAATTTTATGAACAGCCATTTTTACATCGTGCAGCCTTAACAGGTAGAAGAGGTTTAGCATTAGTTGCATTACTCCTTCCATGTGTAAGATTAACAAGAGCATTATTAGAACGCCTTATGAAATGTATGGCTACAGATTTCAAAGATTTAACAGCTGTAATACCATTACTTGGTGTTTATTCATTAGTAGAAGCTATTCCTTCTATTCAAATTGTCCAAACTTTATCTGAGGAAATAGTAGGAACACTTTTAGTATTCACACAGGCTGTGGATTCAGATGGATCAGGAAATGTAGCAAAATCATTGTGGACACAAATGTTAGGTGAAGTTCTCAAAATGGTTTCTTTAAGTCCATGTAATTTTATACCAGGATTGAAACTTTTAACAAGACTTTTACCACCAGTTTTAACTTTGAAAGAAACAATGACTGAAGATGCTACTCGAATTTTAGGTGTTAGAAAATTATGGTCTGCTCATTTACAAGCACAAGCTAATAATTTAACTGAAACATTGCGGTTACTTTGCGCCAGTTGGAATAAAGATTTACTAATTCTTCTTTCAAAAGTATGCAAACAATTAAGTGATTTAGCAGCACCTACAGCATTACTTGTAGGTAGATGTTTATTAGATGGTATAATAGCTGCCACACCATTAGAAAATAATGTTTTAATTCTTACTTTACTTAGCGAACTTGCAAGACATGCACCTATGAAGGCTACTTTGTTAACTTTAACTAGCCCTGCATCTAGAGCACAGGTTAAATCTGATCAAAAGTATCCACCTGTTATTGAAATGATGTGCACAGCACTTAAAAATACAAACGATATTAGAATACAATATGAAATTCTTGATATCTTTGAAACATTATGTGATTATACATTAAGTCTTATGCAAGAAGACATTAGTGAGCCATTTGAAAAAAGACTTACACATTCAGTACCAAGTAAAGAACCGCTTTTATCTATTTTAGCTGTATTAATTGATATATTAGCAACTAGTACGAAATTTGAAATTGAGATATTACAAAGTACACTTCGTATACTTTTATCTCTTATTAATCATAATTATGGTTTATATCATGTAAAAAGTTGTTTAGAAAATAATCCTGATGCATTACGATCATTATTAGATCATATTTCGGCTTTAGAAGAGTCAGAAATTCAACTTATTGTGGATTTAACTATAATGTTTTTAGAAAATTTAATTACATCTGAATCACAAGGAAGATCTTTATATCTACGTATACAACAATTATCAGCCCTAATATTATGGGATAAAAATGATCATCCTTTGGAAAAAATAAAACGTGCACAAGAATTAGTTGAAATCTTAAAATCTGCAGAAGATAAAGAAGAAAAAGAACCAATTCCAGAAATGTTAGAGCCATTATTACCAACTCCCGAAGCTTTGTTGAATCAATTTTCTCAACGATGTTTGGGTACACCAGATCTTGTTTCTAAACGCCCAAAAAAATTTACATTTATGTGTCCAAATCAAGCACCAAACGAAAATACAATAGATTTATTAGCACTTGCAGCTGAATTACTTCCTACTGACTTTAATTTATTATCAGAAGCTCAAAATTTATGTTCTAAGATTCCACCTGATGATGCTACTCAACCACTACAATCAAAAACTCAAACTGATGATCAAGAAACTAGAGATGTACAAAAACAAGCTATATCTCCTGTTTCTAAAGTAAAACAACCATTTGGTAAATTTATATTCATTATATATTTTTCATTGTAAATTTTAACAATCAAATCATTCAGAGATCAAACTGATCAATTTTACAAATTTTAATAACAATTTATAATTTGTGCTTAACTTAATGATTTAAATTAACAGAATTGATCAGGTTGACTTTTTTTAATATTCATTTCATCAGTTCAAAATTAATAATAATTTAATTAAAAAATATTTCTTCACAGTTACACCTATGCGAGGTCGGACACAATTTACCAATTCTTTAAGAGGTGGATCAGTAGTGGGTAGTGTAGGCAGAGGAGCAGATCCATTTAGATCAAGACCACCAAACACTTCGCGACCACCATCGCTTCATGTAGATGATTTCGTAGCATTAGAAACATGCGGAGCACAACCAACTGGACCTACAGGATATAATAAATTGAGTATTCGCGGAACATGTCCTTCACGTGCAATCAATACAGGAACAAGAAGTCGTCCTTGGACACAAGAGACTCGCCCTCCTTATCTTCGTTAACTTTAATAAGATTATCTTTATTGTCCATTAATCATTTGATGTTTTAATTGTAAGAATTTTATGTTAATAAAATTTAATTTATTTATAAAATTTATAAAATGTAATATTAATAAAAATGTATATATTAATAAAATATAAATTTAATACAAAAATATTTTTCTTATAACATTATTTTTTATAAAAAATAAAACAAGGATATAATTATAGTATATATAAGTATATATAATAGTATATTATAATATGTGAATATCAATTTAATTTTATTTATTATTTATTAAAATAATTATGTGTATATATACATGTAAAGAGAAAAGAGAGAGAGGTATTAAGAAAAAAGATACAAGGTATAAAATAGAAATATTAATGTCTATATACATATACATACGTATATACATACACATATATATATATGAGACTATATTGAAGTTTTATATAATAAAATATATATAATATATAATAAAATAATAATATAAATTAACATTAAATCAGATTGTAAACAAAAAGAAAATTTATTTTGACAATTTTATATTATTTTGTATTTTTTCTTTCCAATTTTCATATCTTATTTTAAAGTCATTATAATCTTTCTTGATTTTATTAATTTTTAGATGATTATATTTGCCCTAAAATATTACATAAATATATATAAATAATAACATAATAAAATATATTATATAAATTATAATAATAATTAATATAAAATAATTTTTAATAATTAATTTACCTTATTTTTAATTATTTCTAATACTAATTCATCAAATTTTTCTAAGATATTTAATATATTTGTTGTTGGTGTAATATTATTATGCAATATATATTTCATTAAATGCAATACATATATAAAATTCTTATAATAACATGCATTGTAAAATAATGTTTCCAAGATTTTGAAATTTGGTGCATAACCAATGGTATCAATTTGTTCTAAAAGTTCCAGTCCATCTTTACACCTAATACATCCAATAGCCAATACTCCAAATGTAACAATATTTGGTGTAAAATGATGTCTTTGAATTTTATTCAATATATCCTTTATTAAAATATAAATATTATAATTAAACATCAATTATATTAAAGTAATATAATTAAAGTAATTACTTACTTTGGCAGCATTGTATTGTTTTCTTAAACATCTCCTTTTAATAAGTATATTGAAGAAAGTTATATCAGTTTTAATATTATTTGATTTAATATATTTAAGGAAATATTGTTCTGCTTTTATTGTAGATGGAAGTAAATCTAGTATTAATGTTATTGTTTTTATATTAGGTTCTACATCATCATTTTTCATATGTTTTAAAAATTTATCAATTCCACCAAACAAAAGTAATCGATTTATTTTTAATATATTATTCAAATTTGGAGATAACAATGTATTTTCATTATTTATGTTTATTTCTGAATTTTTATTGTTTGATTTAAAATAATTATATTTTTTAAGCATAAGAACAAGTGAAGTACTTAATACTGGTGGAGAATCTAATAAATCTGATCTTTCAGTTTCCATAAGTTGAATCTGAGTATTCTTTGAATTTGGTACCAAAATGTCATTTACTTTTAGATCACCAAACTTTGTGTCTTTAATTGCCTTTAAAAAAAGATTATAATGAAATATGTTTGGTTTTATTTTAATTATTTTCATTTTATGCCATAAGTATAATGCATATTTTAATCCATTTTCTGTATCACTGATTGTTGCATGAAATAAAGCAGAAATTATATTCTGTGAATAAATATGATTATCTTTTGCTTCATCTGCTATTTCAAAAGCAATTGAAATTTCTTTATGCCAACTATAAGCCTTAATAAGGGATGAATAATGTATATCATTTAAATTTATTTTTTTCTCATAAAAGTATTTTCTTAAAAATGTTAAATGTTTTAATGCTTCTTCTTTATCTTTTGCTTCAGCACAAGCATTAATTAAATTAGTATATATATGTGGAGAAAGAAATAAACCTCTTTCTTTTATTTGTTTAAATAATTTAAAACATTGTTTAATATCACCTTGTTTAGCAAAAGCAGATATTAAAAGCCTATATATATATAAATTAGGTTTATCATTATTTTCTTTCATTAAATCTAACACACTTAAGGCTAATTGTAAATTTTTATTAATTAAATGAGATTTAATAAGTTTATAATAATTTTTTTGAGTAAATTTTTGTCTCTTTGGAATCATATTTTCAGTAAATTTTTCTTCTTCTTCTTCCATTTTATCCATTTTAATTCTCTCATATTTATTATATGAAAGATCTCCAAATATATTAGGATCTTTTGGTAATATTTTTACACAAAACTTTCTATTAGAGATTGATAAATATGAAAAATTTATTTTATCTTTCACATTGCAAATGTCTCTTTTAAATTGATTTTTATTATGAGATATGATATATAAATATATCTTATTATTTATATAATTAATATAATTATATCTTTGTAATGTGCATAAAAATTGTTTTGTTTGTTTAATATAACAATAATGATTACTTATATAACCTAGAATCTTTAATTTTAAAGAACAGTTTTTTATAAAAATCATAATTGATAATTTATTTTTCTTTTTAGTTAATTTTCTTAAGCTTTATCATTTACATATGATATTTTTTTATCTTTATTATTTATTATATTAAATCTTTTAGTATCATTAATTTTAACGGTTGACTTTCAAAACAAATATTATTTATATATTCTTTTATTATAAAATGATCACGAAACAATAAAAAGATACATATTTTTATAATATATATTTTTTAACATAAAGAATACCTTTTAAAACTGAGAATTTTAATTAAAATAAAATTTTAACTAAAATTTATTATTATGAATGAGAAAAGAAGATATTTAAAATAAAGAAGATTATAGAATATGCATTTCAAGTTAAAATGTTCAATCATATATATAAAAAATGATATAAATGATATAAAACATAATCTATTTACATTCATAAATTATATAAAAAAGTGATATATATTTAAATTATTTAATTATATATTAATGAAATTTAATTACAAAATGGCACACTAGCGCTAAGTACAACTACAATATACAACTTGTATGTAACAATAATGGTAATGGTAGAGTTAGTAGTGGTCGCGTCAGTTCGATAAAGTCCGTAGTGATTTACAGAAAGAAACGTGATATATTGATCAAATGTGTCTTCAATCAAGTATAATTATTAATGAAGAATTAATTCATTATTGAAAGAAGATTTATTCGATTTATAAGTATCAAACAAAAAAATGGAAAAAACAGAAGAGAATGAACATAATGTGTTGCGAGAGGTTTTAAATGAAGAAGAATTAGCGCAAATACCTGAAGGATTTATAAAAAAGCTCAATGTTTATTTCAATGAAAAATTTGAACAGTATATTACAGCAAAAGCAGTTTTTGAAACTAATAGAAAAAATTTTGGTAAGTTTGAAATTATATATTTTTTGTCATAATAACGATCGTTTATTTACACAAAGGAATTAACCTCTCTATAGAAATATGCCGTATTCATCATAGTTTATATGAAATATTTTTTTATTAAACATATAAATGAAATTTTCGCAAAATAATTCGCAAATTAATTTTATAGAAAAGATATCTATAAGATTTATATACATGTATAATATTATAATATATAATATTAAAAAAATTAGATTATTAGTAAAACAAAAAATATTTTTATTTAAATTTTATTAGATCAAACTTTAGATAAATTACAAAAAGATTTGGCGGAAGAAAAATTAAATTTTGAAGAATGTAAAGGAAAACTTGAATTAGCAGAAAAATGTACTGTGGAATTACAAACTAGTTTAGATCAATCTAAAAGTGAAATACAAAAATTGCAAGAAACTGTTAAAAGGTATTATTGAAAAATATTTATATTATATTATATATAAAATTTTTATATATATATAAAATATTTTTATATATCTAATATATATATATATATATAGATAATATTGATCATATAATATCATTATTATTATATAACTCTATAATATATAACTATATAAAAAGTATTTAATTATTTATAGATTAGAAAAAGAAAATGCTGATTTACGTAGGCATAGAGATACAGTTGTGGATGAGAGAGATGCATTGCAATTACAGGTTGAAAGACGAGATACAGAAATTGAAAGAATGCATACTGAATTATCTTCTTTGGGAACTCAATTACAAAATGCTGTTGCTGCAAAATGTCAAGCTCTAGCAGAAACAGAGGAGATTCGAAGTCGTGATATGACTCTTGAATTTAAGTATGTATTTATATAATAAATTCTTTCATTATTAAACAATTCAATTTTTAATAAAGTTTTAATATAATATTTGAAACTTTTTAGAGAAAAACGATTAGAACAAGAAAGAGCTCTTTTGTCACAGCAAATGGCTGGTCTTGAAGAAGAATTAGCAAAGAGAATGTCAGAATTACAAGCAACAAGAGCAGAAGCTTCTGCACGAGCACTCTTAACAGATACTCGTTTAGCACAACGCGATGAAGAATTACGTATTTCTAACGAAGCAACGGCACAGTTACGAGAATCGTATACATCTCTTCAACGACGCTGCGATGAACTTGCTCAGAAATTAGAAGAACAACGTACACATGAAATTTCTATGCATGCTTCTTATCGAGAAGAAATTGGTGCTCAGACTAGATTAGCAGATCTCTATAAAGGCATGGCTGATGAAGCAAATGCAAAAGCTGAAGAATTTAGTAATGCAGTTAAAGAACTTCAAGAATTATTAGAACATGCTACTGAACAGTATGGAACATTAGAGACAACACATAATCAATTTCAATTACAACATAAACAAGATTTAGATGAAAAAGAACAAAAAATAGAAGAACTTTCAAACGAACTAAATCATGCAAATGAATTATTGAAAAATATTAAACAAGGTAAATAAATACTAAGTTATTGTAATTTTTATAAGATTATTATTTATTTAATAATCATATGATTTCTTTTGTAGAAAAATTAGATCAAGCTGTTGAACAACTTGCACCTACAGCAGCTATAGCTAGTAGAGTTCTTAGAAAAGGCTTGAGTCTTACTCAAATTTATACACAACTAGTTGATGTAACAAATGAGTTAACTTCAGAACGTGAAGAAAATGAACGTTTAAAATCGCAAATGGATGTTATTTTACGTGAATTAGAAGAAAAAGCTCCTGTTCTCCAACAACAACGTGAAGATTATGAAAATGCAATGACTAATATTAATACATTAACATCAAGATTAGATGAACTTATAGCAGAAAATCATAGATTAGAAGAAACAGCTGATGAAGCAAATCGCATTGCTAAACACCACACTAAAGAAAATCAAAGGTTAAAAACTGAATTATCAGATTTAGCTAGACAGGTAAAAAATTAAATTATACATACTTTTTATAATTTTATGTATATTTTAATATATATATATATATTATATATTTGATACTTTTAGGTATGTTTTCTTTTGAAAGAAGTTCAAGAAAATAGGAGTGGTACAACTATTCAGACAAATGAATTTTCAAATTCAATGGATATGGATAATCTTGCTTCATCTGAAATTATTAGTAAAAAACTTGTCACTTTTAAAGATATTGAAGAATTACAAGAAAATAATCAAAAATTGTTGTCAATAGTTCGTACATTATCATCAAGACAAGAAGAAATTGAAAGAGCAACTGATGAAATAAATTCTGGGGAAATGAAAGAAAAATTAGATAGGTTTGTAATACACATATAAAAAATATATCATAATGTAGAATATTGTATTTAATTTTTTATAATTATAATAGATATTTAGAACAATTAGAAGATATGCAAGCTGCTCAAGACAGGCAAGCAAAAATGTTAGAAGGTCTATTGCGACAACGAGATATGTATAAAAATATGTACCAACAATGTTTAAAACAAACACCAGAAAAGAAAGAATTTTCCATTCCTGAAGAAGAAAGAAAAGAAATTGATGTAATAAAAACTGTTAAAGATGAAGTATCTATAATACAAGATGATATTAATCGAGAAAAAGAATTGCAAAGACAATTAGAAGAAAATGAAACGAAGTTAAAACAAGTTACAGATGAATATGACACATATAAAAAAGAAAGAGCAGCCCATGAACGAATGTTAGGAGATGAAGTAGAAAGACTTAGAAAAGAAGCAGAAGCTAATTCAGCTCGATGTTGTAGATTAAAAGCTCAACTAGATTCGGCTAATGATCGATTTAATCTTTTACAATCAAATGTTACTTCTTATAAATCTCAAATAAAAGTTCTTGAAGAAAAATGTTTTAATTACAATGTGACAATTGGTAATATTTAATATAAAATGTTTATTATATATTATATTATACATATATTATATACATATATATATATTATATAATATACATATATTATATAGTATATTATATTATACATTAAAATATTTATTATTTACAAATATTATGTTAACAATATGTATGATTTAATTATTTAAAAATTATTTTATAGGAAAACATGAACAAAGCTTAATGATTTTGAAAGACGAAGCTTTAGCAGCTCAAACACGATTATCCCGTGCTGAAGTACAATTAGAAAATTTACGTCAGGAAAGACAACTTTTACGTGATTCTGAAGGTCGTCTTTTGAAAGAACGTGAAGTATATCAGAGAGAACGTCAAACGCAAGCTTTATTACGAGCAGATGTTGAATCTATTAAAGCAAGTTTAGAGCGTGTTCAGGCTGAAGGTCAATTACGTGCTGAACAACGTTTAGATGATGCTACAAGAGAATGTGCTGCTTTAAGACGTCGATTACAGGAAGAACAAGATCGATTTAGAGAATTATCCGCACATTTAGAAAGACAGCTTGCTACAGCTCAAGAACGATTAACAGAGGAACGTAATATCACTGAACAAATTCGTGCAGAACTGGAACAAACTCGTCAATCTGACTTTCAAAATACGCAACGTATAGAAGAACTTAATACTAAATTAAGACAAGCTGTTACTCATTCAATATCAAAACCTTTCTCTGGTATGTATGAAATATAAACGTAAATTTTTATTTGTTTAATTGGAAATGATTAATAAAATTCTATATCTATTTAAACTTGCAGGCGATGAGCATCTTGTAAAGAGATTAAAAGAACTTGAAATGCAATTTGCAACAACACAAGCAGAAGCAAAATCTTTATCAGAACAATTAAAAGCTTCACGGCAGCAAAGCCAACAATATTGTGATATAGCAGAAAGTGCAGAAGCTCAATTAAGAGAGTTAACAACACAACATAACAAATATAAAGAAGAATTGGAAACTGCTTTAAAAGAAGCTCGTGTAAAAATAATATCTCTTCAAAAAAAAATTCAAGAACTAGTAGAAGAATTAGCAAAAGTT